GCTGCCTACCACCTGGGGAGCTGTGAGATGCAGCCTTGACCTCAAATAGTTCCTATCTGCAGGCAGAGAGAAGGGAAGAGGCTGCTGTGATCAAGTGCTGGAGCACTGCAAAGAAGCAATGTTTTGTTAAACTGATAAAACCTGGCACCCACATCACTGCAGGGCTGCACATACTGTGAGTGCAGATGAAAATTCACTGGCTTGGAAGTAAAAGGGTGTTAGAAGTGCCTCTTTGGAAGATGGCCGCGGGGTGACATCTGTATCATCTTCTGTGCGTGGGCTTGGAATGTGAAAGATATTTCTGGAGAGCTGAACCTTACCAATAAAGCTGGCTACCTCCAGCAGCCAATAAAGCTGGTGAGCTCTGACAACCAATGAAGATGGTAAACTCAAACAACCTCGTGTCGTGTCCTTGTGAACCCATCACCCCACAGCGACCTCACATCTGCTGTGCTGTGGGGTGATGCACGCAAACCCAGTGAGGAGAGTCCATCCAGGAGAACGTGGCAGAAGTTTGGCTGTGGAATGGGACCAAAGCTCAGCATAGCTGCTCCACTGCAGTGTTATTAAACGTGGTTTGGGATGTGCAGATAACCCTGCACAGCTGGGGGACAGGGTGGTGGTCAGCGTGCAGGGAGAGGGAGAGATACGACTAGAGATCTCAGCCAACATTTTGAGTTTCAACCCCAGTAAGATTCCATCCCCAAACAGCCCTTGTCACTCTCAGCCTGGTGCCAGTGCCACTTTTCAAAATCCACATTCCAACCTGTCCCTCTGCTGGGAGAAGTGTGGATCTGCCTGTGGGTAGCGAGGCCCTACAGAGGGATCTGGACAGGCTGGAGAGCTGGGCTGGAGCCAATGGGATGAGTTTCAACAAGGCCAAATGCCGGGTCCTGCACTTCGGCCACAACAACCCCAGGCGACGCTACAGGCTTGGGGCGGTGTGGCTGGAGGACTGCGTAGAGGAAATGGACCTGGGGGTATTGATTGATGCTCGGCTGAACATGAGCCGACAGTGTGCCCAGGTGGCCAAGAAGGCCAATGGCATCCTGGCTTGCATCAGAAACAGTGTTGCAAGCAGGAGCAGAGAAGTGATTGTTCCCCTATATTCAGCACTAGTGAGGCCGCACCTCGAGTACTGTGTCCAGTTTTGGGCCCCTCACTGCAAGAAAGATATTGAGGCCCTGGAACGTGTTCAAAGGAGGGCAACAAAGCTGGTGAGGGGTCTGGAACACAGGCCGTATGAGGAGAGGCTGAAGGAGCTGGGAATGTTCAGCCTGGAGAAGAGGAGGCTCAGGGGAGACCTCATTGCTCTCTATAACTTCCTGTTGCTGTAGTGAGCTGGGGGTCGGCCTCTTCTCTCGTGTCATTAGTGATAGGACCAGGGGGAATGGTTTCAAGCTACGGCAGGGGAGATTCAGGCTGGACATGAGGAAGTATTACTTTTCAGAAAGGGTGGTCAGGCACTGGAATGGACTGCCCAGGGAGGTGGTGGAATCACCGACCCTGGGGGTGTTCAAGGAAAGGCTGGATGTTGTGTTGAGGGACATGGTTTAGTAGGAGCTATTGGGAATAGGTGAACGGTTGGACTGGGTGATCTTTTAGGTCTTTTCCAACCTTGGTGATTCTATGATTCTATGATTCTATGAAAGCAGAGGACAGACTCCTTAGCGGGGTCTGTTGTGACAGGACAGGGGGAATGGTTTCCAACTAAAAGAGGGGAGATTTAGATAGGATGCAAGGAAGAAGATTTGTACACTAAGGGCAGTGAGGCACTGCACAGGTTGCCCAGAGAGGCGATGGTGCCCCATCCCTGCAGACAGCCAAGGTCAGGCTGCAGGGGCTCTGAGCACTGATGGAGACAGCTCCATCACAGAGCTGTCTGTGCACACATGCACATCCTGTGCACTGCAGGGAGTGGGACCTGATGGCTTTTAGGGGTCCTTGCAACTCCAGTGATGCCCTTGGCAGAGGAATCTGGCCAAGGAAACAGGAAAGGACGATGGTACAGGAAAGTGCTGCAGCACCCGTGCAAAAAGGGACCAGCAGAACATATGCAGATAAGAAGGCAAGCTTTGCCTTCTGAATTAAGGATCAGGAAGTAGCAACATGGTCATAAATATTACTTTTCAATAACTGCGCTTGCAGGCATTGAATCCATCGAAACCTAAGAGGAAGGAGAGGTTCCTCCATGAGTGAGATTGGAACCAAAAGCCCCTTCCTCATCGTGCAGATGCTCATAGATCCTGTAGGTTATCACGAGAACTTAGTTCTGGCCCATACTCAGATGATAGTGGATTTTTAGTCCTATCTTCCCGATACATTAATGTTTGCTTTAAACAAATCTAATCCCTCTTTATAACACCATAAGAAAGCACAGAACGTGGCATTTATATCGCAGTAAAATTTTATGTGTGTTTGCACAACTACTTGACAGCACAAACATCGGTGTTTCCTTAAGGGATGCGCTTTGAGGTTTCCTGTGGGGAAATGGGACCACTCACAGCTCGCAGCTGGGAGACAGGCATTTTCCCTATTGCAGATGCTCCAGAGGCCAGTAAGGAAAAGGAAATTGTCAAGGGCAAGAGCTACCTGTACAACAGGGGATTGTATCTCGCCATCAGCACACAGCTCCTCGTCCTCTCTGCATTCACACTGAGGATCGACTCCCTCTGAATTTGTTGCTCCAGCACTGTGCAGGGGTGCGAAGCAGAGCCTGTGCTGGTGGGTGAGCTGCCCTATGGCTATGGGCATGGTGCCTCTGGGGAGCAGACTGAGTCCTGGAGAACTCATTCTGTCATTTTTCTTAGCTTGGATTTTGGCAGAGAGGCAATTCCAGGCACACCGTGTCCTTCAGAACTCTAAAAGTTCGTCATCTTCCTCATGATCCTCCACGGGTCAGAGACTCCTGGCTCCTCGGATGGGACTTTTGCGAGCCTGGCGTGGCTTCATGGCCACCCCAGTGATCAAAGATCTGGTGACTTGTGGCATTCACATGGACCCATCAAGAACCATGAAATGCTGGGCATGGATAATGTCCCATCCCTATCAGAGATGCTATTCAACCATCTCATCTGTGCAAAAGTGATTTTGAAACATCATGTAAGAGATCATGCAGGTGGGAAAACATCCCATTTTTTGATTCACACAGTAACTTTCTGGAAATCTCCCTGGTTGCTCTGATCCAGTGGCTGAGCTGCAAGCTGGTGCCCAGGAACAGCTCTGGAGATTTCCTGAGGAAATCTGGACTTCTCCATGCAAGCAACACAATTCAATTCTGCACACTCTGCCTAAGGAGAAGGAGATTCTCCTGGCACCAGGTGCTCCCCAGGCTGATGCTTGGGATCTGACAGTGGGACACAAACAGTCTTGTGTTGCAGCTGGCCCCTGATATGACAAGGTAGACCATTTCCACCATCGTTTTGGTTCTGCTTCATGCCTGCTGGACTCCCGTTGAGCCACACAACATGTTCATTCCAGAAGGAAGCAGGGATCTTACTGCACCCAGCTCCTCGCCACCTCGGCACAGATCCAGCAGGAGAGACTCTGGCATGACAGGGCACTGCACTGAGCGGGGCTGCATCTCCAGCATGGACACTGAAGCGACAGGAGGGAGCTGAGCAAACATCTTGGAAAGCAGTTGGTATGTGCACAGGAGACCTGCGTGGCACATGGGGAAGCGCACCCATGAGCTTTTCTAAGAACTTGTTTGCCACTCTGCAGCTGGAGCGATATTAGCTTTGGTCCTGATAAAGGCTCTTATCAGAGAAGATCAATCTGCCTGCTGTGGGGAAGTGACCGTTTGGGTTACAGCCCTGTTACTGGCAGTCATCTGTGTGCCCCAAGGTGAGCACAGGACCGGCCCTGGGGCAGCGTCAGCCGCACTCCTCCCCAGCATCTGCAGCTATAAATCCTGTGGTTCAAAGCGTGTCTCCAGACACATCCTGGGCTTCTGAGTGTTTCTGTGGAGGCAGCATGGGTGAGTGCGTGTGAAGAGCAGGGTGGGTTGCCCCCTCTAAACCCACCGCACCAGCAGAGCCCTCCCTTTGCTCCTGTGGATGGAGGACTGGCTGCCAGGGCAGTAGGATGGCACCAGGTACTTCACAACAGCAGTGGAACTGTGCTCTACACTCACCTTGTCCCTTCTTCCCACAGCTTCCCAATGTGCTCCCCTCCTGCTGCCTGCCTGTGTGGTGGCCCTGCCTGCCCTGAGTCTCATTGGTGCTGCCCAAGACCTGACCCTCCTCAGTCGATCTGTCTCGAATAGCAGTCCATCAGCTCTCAGCATGCTGACAGATGGTAGGTACACGAAAGGCCTTCATCTCTGCAGGCAGAACCATGCTCGGGCCCCTGCACAGGTGTCCTGCCCTCTCTCTGTCTGGTAGGACGGGGAAGGTTGGTCCTGCAGGGAGGTGGAAGTTGGGCTGGCTCAGCAAGCAGGTCAGAAAACCTCTGCAGGCCACAGTGGTCTGGGGTAAGGAAAATCGGGTCCACAAATAGCACCAAGTGCCACCAGTGGTAGAAGAGCATGACTGATACCCATTTGGCTGGAGGCACAGATTGCAATGCCATGCCCAATCTCTAACGCAGCAAAAACATTTGGAAATGGGGACTTTAGAAGATAAAGGCGCCTTCTCCCTCCAGGAGGTGTTAAGGCTTTACATCTTACTGCTTGGGCTCCACCTCTGGAGACAGAAAGCATCTCCTGATCTGAGTTCCAGCTTTGCTGGATCTTCCCTACTTCTTCCAACTCTTCTCCGTGCTGTTGGTTTCCATGTCACAGGTAAGATCCGCCTGGTGAATGGCTCCAAACCCTGCTCTGGACGGGTGGAGGTCTGGTACCACAATGAGTGGGGAACGGTGTGTGACGACGGCTGGGACCTGAAAGATGCCTCTGTGGTCTGTAGGCAGCTTGGCTGCGGGGAAGCAGTGTCAGCTCCATCTCAAGCTTTCTTTGGAAGTGGATCCGGACCTATTTGGCTGGATGATGTTAACTGCATTGGGAACAAGAGCCTCCTCACTCAGTGCACGCTGAGGGCCTGGGGACAACACAACTGCAGGCACAGCGAGGATGCAGGCGTCATGTGCTCAGGTAGAGTGTGCCGCTCTGTGTCCCTTACTAATATCCAACTGCAGGTGTGCGATGGGATGCACCTCTGTCTTCTTCGACGGGGTCTTATTAGATTCCCCTCTCTCCTGCCACACTGGCCAGTATGGGGTGAGTCCAGTGCCACTCTGTGTGGAAAAGGGCCTCACAGCATCTCTCACCCCAACCCCACTCCAGGTTTAATGCTGACAGAGGTGAGGAAGTGCCCAGCACAGGCTGCAGTGCTCGTGTATGTGTGTGTGTGTATGTGCACCATGCAGGTGATGAAGGCACCTGTGTGCTGGCAGAGGCTGTTCTTCTCTCTCCTCAGCCACAGAAAGGGGCAAGGTCCTTTTCACATCCCTGTCCAGTCCAATTCTGTTTTAGCCACACAGCCCCTTTCAGCATCTATATTGTTCTCCGAGTCTGATACCAGCATGGTCCAGTGGGACTGTTGCCCTTCCCTTGGGGCCACCTCCTGCCAGGTCCTGTTGGAGAAGATGAGCAAAGGTCTGAGGCCAACCCAGTCGCACTGTCAGGAGAGCGCATTGACCTCTCTGGGCTGGGACAGCTGAGAATCTGCGAGATGCTCTGGCCAGTTGTCCGTCTGTTCTTCCACAAGATGAAGGCATGCTCTTTTTCTGTTGCACAGCCTTTTGTTAAAGCACGCTCTCTCCTGCCCCAGGTTGGCCCAAGGACTGCAGTGAGCTCTCTGCAGGCAGCCCCAGCGTCTACATCATCCAGCCCTCAGGGCTGCACCCCCTCGTGGTGTACTGCGAGATGAACGTGACGGATGGGGGCTGGACGGTCATCCAGAGGAACAGCCACAACACAGACATCACCTGGGCCGAGTCCTGGAGCGCCTACAAGTACGGCTTTGGGAACGTGCGCGGCGACTACTGGCTGGGCACCGAGTACATCCACCAGATCGCCAAGCAGAAGGTCTACCAGGTCAGGTTCGTCATCTCAGACAACGCAGACAACGTCAAGTTTGCAGACTACAACCTCTTCAGCGTGGAGGACGAGGCCCAGGGCTACCGGCTGCGGCTGGGCTCCTACGCGGGCACAGCGGGGGATGCCATGGCTTTAGCCAATTCCGCCACTGTGCACGACAACATGAAGTTCTCTGCTAAGGACTTGGATCAGGACACCAACAGCAGGAACTGTGCCTCCGCCAATGGGGGCGGCTGGTGGTATTCGTCCTGTTACTCCATACGGCTCAATTTCAAGGGCGGCTTGACGTGGAGCGGTCTGTGCAGCGGCAACTGCAAAGCTTCTGCCATCCTCATCAAACCAGCTACCTACTGCTAGCTGCATTTTCCTTTCCTTTCCGTCCAACCTGTGGCTAAGACTTGCTCGGCAAAGGGGTAGAAAAGGTAAAACGTGCCATGGCCAGACCTGATGCGTCGTGGGTCTTTGCTGAGGTTTGTGTCCCAGCTACTGAAGAAAATGAGCCGTCCTCCACTTCTCCCTCCTGTAGGTCTCTTCTGCTCCTCAATTCAGCCTTTATTCTTTTGCTCAGATCCGGGTCATTTTAATTGTGTTAATAATCAGAACAGTTGCTCCCAAAACCTGGAGTTTCCAGATGTGCAATGTGCCTCAGATAAAATGTGAAACAGCCAAACTGCAATGCATCTCTATGGCTGTGTGAGCTGATTGACATCTTTAACTTCAGACAAACAACACAACTTTCACTTGTAGAAAGATTAAAATCTCTCAATCAGGATTGCACAAATTCCCACTCTTTGCCTTCTGTACTTCAGGCTTAACGCTTGTCAAGTATCAAAATAAATCTGTATTCAAAGAACTATCCCAAATGTTAACATCTATTTCAAGTCTCTGCTGTGCTCGCACAGCTCACCGTGTTCAAAAGCTTCCTCTGCTGAAGCCCTGCTTTCCCATAGGACAGGCGTTTGGGAAGGAGCTATGAATTAACAGCTTGTGTGCTGCGCTGCGAAGGGCAGTGGAGTTCAGCCACTGGAAATGGGAGGGGATGGGAAGCCAAGAGTCCGCGTGAGGACTTCTGTCTTCTCTCACCTTCAAAACAGAGGGCGCTGTGAGGTGTGATTGGAGCCATCTACACACATAATTTGAAGGATTTCAGCGGCACACAAAAAGATTGTCCTCCTGGAAAAACCGACCAAGTGTCCCCCTGGCTGTGCGCTCTGCCCTCCCCTCCAGGCAGCCAATGCCCAAGTGCACCTTGCCATCTTCAATCTTAAGCTGCTGTCTAATGATAAAGCTTTGTTAAATCACCATATTACATTTCTTTCGGGTCCTCTTCAGCAAGCTAGAGTGAGTTGTTTTTAATGAGCTGCTTTGTTTGTCTGCAGTCTGGAAAAGCAAATGTGTCCTTGTGAATGGCTTTAAATGACAGCCCCAAATCCCAGGTGCACCCAGTGCAGGGTCAGGGAGCCCAGAGGTGCAGAGCTGTCCTGCTGCTGTGGAAGCACACGGCAGGGGAAAGCTTTGTGCAGCAGGCACGTAGCAGCAGATACATCAAGTCAGCCCTCTGAGCACGAAACAGTCTCAAATGTGCTTCAGTTACGGCACGGACCAGTAGGAAGCCAGAAGGCTCTGACCGGTTCCATCCCCCTTGTCGGCCACTCCTGGATGTAGCCGTTCCATCCATTACACCATCAGCCCGCCGGTGCAAAGCAGCATTTCCCATACAGATCACAGCTTGCGTTGGTCTTCAAAGGATCAGTGTGTTTCTTTCTTTGAAGGAAGATGCTGCTGTGCTCCCTGCAGTTTCTGCCGTCCCCAGAGAAGCCCAGCCACCTCGTCCTGTGGCAGCACTGATGTCAGAGGGCGCAATAAAATGTGACAGCAATGACCAAGAAGTGATTGGAGAAGCAGGGAGTTTTGCTGCTGACTTTTCTCCAGTCTCCAGAGGGTGCCCTTGTCCCGGGGCTCCCCAGGCGGCCGTGGGGAGTGAAGAAAGTGTGGCCGTGCAGGGATGGGCAGGGAGAGCCACGAGGTATTGCCTGGCAGTTCAGCTGCAGGTTGCGATTTGCTCTGCTATTCGCCCTGCTCTGTTCCACTGGTGCAGGGTGGGATACATGGAGAGAGAGACTGAGACCTCTGGAGAAGGAAAACACAAGAATTACATCGCGCGGGTGTCAGAATTCTTTCCAAGAAGAGGAAATACAACCAACTGTCTCTGAATTAGGGTTTCCCAGCCCTTTCCTGGAGAAGGAATGGACCCTACACCTTCCTCCAAAAGGCCTTGCTGCTCTCTCAGTCAATACTCTGCATTCTGACCCATTCCCTTCTTTCTGCCCATCTCATCTCCAAGAGCAACGTGATCCCTTCTCCTCCTCTCTGGGAATGCTGCACTGTCAGCATCCCTGTGGCTCTGCAGTGTTCTCTCCAGCCCAGGCCTCCCTACGCTGCAGGACCCAGAACTGCACACAGGTCCCCAGGTGCAGCCCTACCAGTGAGGGGACCTCACTTCTCCGGCACTTGGCCACAGTGGAGCAGAGCCTGCCTGCGTGCCAGGACTGTTCAGTGACTTTGGAGTTTGTCCTAAGATTAAGGCCTTAATGTGACCCATATAACACAGCACTGAGCCATCAGATTGCTGTCTAGGCAACAAAACTGCAGCACTGCCTCCTGCTTTCACTTTCTCTATCCTCTGCTGAGTTCTGGGTGGCTTCTGAGATACTTGTTGGAATTTTCTTAATTAGAGAATCCTGAGAAATGGGTAACAGTGGGCAGAGTGAACCGTTTGGGGTGAGCATGGCTGCTGCTGTGGCACTTGGAGATCCAGCCTTCCCAAATGAACGTTTTCACAGCAGTGCTGTGGATGATGATGCACTGGAAGCACCGCTTCGAGTCCTCAGCTCCAGATGTGGGGCTGTATCAGCAACACCTTCATCAGGATTTCACAGACTTGTAAAATTGGAAAGTAATAGAATGGGTTGGGTTGGAAGGGACATCAAAAATAATCTGTTTCCAACTGCCTGCCACAGGCAAGGTTGCCAGCCACTAAATTGGGCACCAGCTGAGGCTGCCCAGAGTCCATCCACGGCCTGGGGCACCTCCAGGGAGGGGCACCCACAGCTCTGGGCAGCAGTGCAGCGCCTCACTGCCCTCTGGGTGAAGAATTTCCATCTCGCATCTAATCTACATCTCCTCTCTTTTAGTTTAAAGCCATTCCCCCTTGTCTTATCAGCAAGACACAACCAGCACGGCACCATCTCTTTCACCTGCCAAGGAAGAACCTCTGCAGGTACTGCTGGGTGGGCTGCATCCCTGTGCCATGCGCCAGCATCATGCAGCCCACTCTTTGAATATTAGTCACAGCTCCTCTCACCAGCTCCTGTGCATGCAATGGAAAACAGAGTATGAGTTTGGAGAGAGTTGCCTGAGGGTAGGAAGGCCCCACAGAGGGATGTGGACAGGCTGATCAGTGGGCAGAGGCCAACGGGATGAGCTGCAACAGGACCAAGTGCCAGGTCCTGCACTTGGGTCACAACTGCCCCATGCAGTGCTATGGGCCTGGGGCAGAATGGCTGGAAAGATGCATGCAGGAAAAGCATGTGGGGGTGTGAGCTGATACCCACTGACCATGAGCCAGCAGCGTGCCCAGGGGGCCAAGAAGGCCAACGGCATCCTGGCTTGTGTCAGCAGTGCTGCAGCCGGCAGAGCAGGAGCTGCCCGTCCCTCTGTGCCGGCCCTGGTGAGGCTGCATTCAGTGCTGCGTTCAGTGCTGGGCTCTCACTGCAAGAAAGACGTGGAGGCCCTGGAGTGTGTTCAGAGAAGGAATGGAGCTGTGAGGGCTGTGGAGCACGCGTCTGATGGGAGCGGCTGGGGGAGCTGGGATGGGTCAGAGTGGGGCAGAGCTCAGGGGAGGCATCACTGCTGCCTGCAGCTGCCTGAAAGCAGGTGGTGAGGATGGGGGTCGGCCTCTGCTCCCTGGTGACAGCGATAGGGTGAGAGGTGATGGCCTTAAAATGCACTGGGGGAAGTTCAGGTTGGATATTAAGAAATTTCAAAAAGAGCAGCGATGCAGTGGCACAGGGAACCGTGGAGATGTGGTACTGAAGGCTGTGGTTATGGACATGGTGGGGTGGGTTGGGGTTGGATTCGGGACCTTAAAGGTCTTTTCCAACCTTAACGATGCTGTGATTCTAACAAAAATTCTATCACCGTTCCTTTTCCTGGTCCCCCCAGCTCTCGTGTTCTGAAAACTGCTGAACAACCATTATCAAATTATTCCTTATTCCCCTGCAGCCCTAGGGCTTTCCACGGCCTCAAATCTCTTTCCAAACACGGGCATTCTGATACGACCAACCTTCTATCACCGTTCTCACTTCTGATTACCCAACTTCCTCACCTCTGACTTTTTCCAACTGTTCATGCCGGGAACCAAACCGGCACACACCTTCTGGTTAAACAGCAGAAGCAATGTCTTCTGCTGTAAGGCCTGGGGCACCGGCAGGGATGGGGCACCCGCCGCTCGGGGCAGCAGCACAACGCCTCACCGCCGTCTGAGTAAAGAACTTCTTCCTTATAGCTGCTCCAAACTGCTCTCTGTTAGTTCAGAGCCACAATCAGCCCTGTCCTATCCCCGATACCTGCTGGGTGTGACCGCCCGGCCCGGCACTGCCAGCCCCCTCTCCCACATCTCCGCACGTGCTTTCCCCTCGGCTGTCCGCAGCTCCGCAGCACGGCTCAGTGACTCCGCGAGCGTTGTGCAGAGCTGGATGCCCGTTGCTATAATTTGAGTTGTTTGCGTCCCTTAATCTGTATTTGTTCCCTCGGAAGTGCAGGGAGACGCACGAGGGCAGAGGCGCTGGGTAAACACCGCGCTGCTCTCCCTGCCGGCACCCCATCAGCTCCGGGTAAACACAACCGACCGCCAGCGAGCGGTGGGCCGGGCGCCGGGCCGAGGGAAGGGAAGGGAAGGCGAGCCGCGCCGCGGAGCCCGCAGCCACGAACGGCGGCCGTGGGCGGGATCAGCGCGCCGCTATAAGTGCGGCTCAGCGCCAGGAGCGCCTGCGCAGCCGGGCCGGGCCTCACCGCGTGGCTGGCGGTGCCGGCGGGCGAAGTGCGGTGAGCCGCAGCTCGGGAGCGCGTTGGCCGTGCGGCCGTGCCGGGGGCCGGAGGGGCGCGCGGTGCCGCGGGTTGGACGCTGCCGGCACGCGGACCGAGGGCTCGTGACGGCGCCGGGCGATGGCTCGGGCTCAGCTGGGGCTGCCGAGCCCCTTCGCGCAGCCCCCGGTCGGACCGTGCCCCGACTCCGACTTTGACTCCGATTCCGAGGACGCGACCGCGGGCGGTGCGGGGCCCGGCGCCGGGCCGCA